TCTTGGGAATTATAATCATATGTTGTGTTTTGTCCTGTTTTCATCTACACTGCTGTTACAGCATTTGTTTTCAATGGAGTCAATGCATGACTAAAAAGATTAGAATAATGATTGCCCAAAGAATTGTATTAATTGAAAATGTATCTGTTTAGCCTAACACAGGTCACAAAATCACTTTTTTCATGTTTCTTTAAATTTGGCCTATCAACTTTATGGCTTATTCAGTTTCCCTTTGCCATGGCAAGTGACATTCTAGGAAAGAACCTTCCTAGTGACATGAGACTGAACTTCTGAACATAAAAGGAGGCAAAGCTATAGTGCTCATCTATACTTTTTTTGAAAGATCTTTTTTTTTTCATGTAATCTTGCTCCTTCTAATCTTTGAAAGATCTTGATGAAAAAGGGGGATATGTGAAAATGAATAACATTTAAAAGCCATTGGAATTTTAAAAAGCCATTGGAACCCCCAAAACATTTTTTAAAAATTTATTTTATTGCATTTTAGGTTTTGGTGTACATGTGAAGAACATGCAAGATTGTTGCATAAGCACACACGTGGCAGTGTGATTTACTGCCTTCCTCCCCATCACCTGTATCTGGCATTTCTCCCCATGCTATCTCTCCCCAACTCCCCACCTCTTGCTGTCCCTCCCCTATTTCCCCCCAACAGACCCTAGTGTGTAGTGCTCCCCTCCCTGTGTCCATGTGTTCTCATTGTTCAACATCCGCCTATGAGTGAGAACATGCGGTGTTCGATTTTCTGCTCTTGTGTCAGTTTGCTGAGAATGATGGTTTCCAGGTTCATCCATGTCCCTACAAAGGACGTGAACTCATCGTTTTTGATGGCTGCATAATATTCCATGGTGTATATGTGCCACATTTTCCCTGTCCAGTCTATCATCGATGGGCATTTGGGTTGAGAACCCCCAAAACATTTTAAGCCTTGAGCGAGATGTGACTGTAATCTGAGTCACATAGCATGATTATAACTCTACTTCACAGACAGCTTATAGCTTAACTTTTGTTCTCATCGTTATTGTTCTGTAAATGACTAGGAAAGACCAGAGACTAAACTTCCCGCCCTCCAATCACTGAACTTTGTTACAGATTAACTGCCTCCTTTATTGTCCAGCACCTAACTCGAACAAGATGGCACCTGAATAGGAACTCCATGACAGTTTCATCTTCACTGTGGAATGTTAATTATACCTTTCATGAAATAACAGGACCACCTCAACTAAAAAGATCTTTGTTACTGTGCCTGAAGCTTTACATAGAAAGTTACTGAAATGCTGTGAAACTTCCCTGAACTTTGTCTATATAAACGATCCTGAACTTCTACACTTTGGAATACTGACTTCCATTCTTTGGAGCTTGTGCTTCCTTGGGGAGCCTGTCCTCAACTTTTGCTCATGAATAACCCGTCTTTAAACTAGATTCTGATCTTTTTGATTATTTTAGATTGATGAGCCCTATTTCCATATTTATAAAAGACAAAGAAAAGGTCTCTGTTATCTGATTCATGTTCTACCCTTAAGCTTTCTTCTTTCTCATCGTCTCCAGTCCTCCTCCTATTAATGTTAGGTTTTTAGAGAACATTTTATCTTAGAACTTAGAAAAGAAATCTGGATCTATATTTCTTTTGACATATGTCCTCTTGGTGTTAACCACTTTATTATTGAGGCCTTGTTGGGGTGTTTCTCTGGGGAACATGTGGGAGAGGGGAAGTTTGGAATTTGGTAGGTTTTCTTCAGAGTTGTAGATTTTGATATACAGGGACCTCTTTTTCTAGGAGAGGCTGTGAGACTGTGATCTCTCCTAGAACCTCAGAGGCATGAAGGTAGAATATCTTCCCCTTCAAGGAGAGTAAGCCAAGGTGATCTCATATTTTTTCGATCTGGTCTGCCATCTGCTGTGTCTCGCTGGCTCAGAAAAAATTCTGAGATCATGTTATGGGAAGTTCAAAGTTCCTTTGGGTTCAGATAGTAAGTACTGTCCTTTTCTCCAGCTTCAGGAACAGTTCTTTCCCATTTCCATGGTGGCCCTAACTCAGATTCATTGCATCCCCTAAAGAGGTTCTATGACTGGAAATACCAACCCCTGGAACTAGTGAGTGAACCCTTGAGGCATCCATAGGATTGGAGGGTATATTCTGTGAGGGGATGCTGAGGATGTGAGTATCTGTGGATATATTAACATTTAAATTTATTTTTATTTAATAATATTGTTCAGTATCCAGAGGATTCATTTTTGGAGTTAACTTACTGATGCAACACAATCCCATTAGAAATCTCATCATAAATTTTGTAGATATTGACAACCTAATTATATGTAAAAGATGTAGAAAATATTTTAAGTGTAGCTAAAATCTTTTTGAACAAGAATGAACAATCTTGGAGGACCCACATTACCTGGTTCTGAGACTCATTTTAACACTACACTAATCAAGACAGTATGCATTGGCAATAGAATATTCAAATCAATCAATGAGACAAAATTGAGAAACCAGAAATATACCCACACAAATATGATCAATTGCTTTTTGACAAAGGTGCAGGGGCAATTAAATGGTGAAATAAAAAAAATATTACATACAGGCCATGTGTAGATGAGACAAAAACCATAGAGATGGAATGAACTGCTAAAGTGGTAGAAATGCTGCTTAACATACTTTGTATTGAGAACTGAGCTAGTCACTGTGAGGACAGACGTAGCAAATTGAGTCCAGTTTCTAGTCCTCAAATAACTCACTTGCCTAACAGAATTTATATAGCACTTGAGGCACCAAAATCACAAACAAGACACATATAGTACATACAGAGAAATCATCTACCATACTAATTCCAGATTGGATGGGATCTTTTTTCAATTAGTGTCAATGCTAAAATTAATTTTAAGTCAACAAATAGTCTACTGTATTTTATTCAGTGTGATGTCTACTGGGTATGTAAAAGCCAATGAAATGGAATCTTTCTCCACAAACATTTCAGAAGCTAGTGAGGGAGCAAACACAAACAGAAAAGTACACTAAAGGAGTATATGTTGTGAATTTGAAGTTCGTATAGAGTAAAATGTTGAGCAGGGAGGGGAAAAATAAAAGAGACAGCAAAGTAGATTGAGAATGAATGGCTAAATGAGGAGGAGGAAAATGAGATATGCCTCATTTTAAATGTGAAAGGCCTAAACAGACTTAGTAATTCTGTGGATCACTGGGTTCACATCTATGGTTTTTACCCCTAGGGGAATGGTTCTGTCATGGTGCCCTTGTGCCCTCTATGTATCCACATTGGCAAAGGCTTGAACCACAGCTAATCTGGGTCCTAAAAGAGTGCCTTATGATCCTCATGGAACACAAGAGAATGGGAAGCCTATAAGAAGCGGCTATAAGGCGATCTCTTACCTTCCTAGTTCCCCAGGAGGCTGTCATGAGACAGTTTCCCATCTACTTCCTGGTTCTGGTGAGGTAAGAGGCTTTCTGTCCCATCCTCTTCAAAATAGGGCTGCAAAATATAAAATCACTTAACTGCTGTCTAGATTTAGTTCCTCAGTGACATTGTACTGTACAAGTTGTGTTTTAGTCTCCCAGTCCCTTTTGTTTTGGTGTCATCCCTTTTGGTGTGTGAGACAAGGATCACAGGAATCTGGTACATTTGGGTAATCTTTCTTTCACTGTCTATGTAAGTACTAAACTGCCTTAATCTAAAAGCAGCTTCTTGAACCTTTACTAGTCAAATCAGTCAGGCCTTGGCTTTGCCTTATTATTATTTGTGAGCCTGACAAATTTTGTGTCAATGTGAAGCCAGTACATTTACAATGTCCTTTTGGAAAGCATGGAGCTGAACAGTCCTGGTTAAGTGAAAAGATAGATTCCTTGACATCTGGTAGCACATCCTTTTGCCTATGTGGTGGGCAAAAGGTGGAGGAGGGTCCTCCTATTAAGGGATTACATAGGCCACGTTAGGAAGGATAAGACTCCCAGGATCTGGGAATGTAGCCCTTACCTAAGAGGTAGGGGAGGGAGGAGAAGTAAGGGTCCTCACACAGGGGCTATATGAGCCTTGTTAAGGGACAGGACTCCCAGGGATCCCATAGTGTTACCGTGTTACCTGCTGATAAACATTTGGAGGTCAAGTGGCTAGAAGTAAGATTGAAACCAGCTGCTCAATGGATGCTTTGATGTTATTAAGGGTATATTTGTTGAAACCCAGTGAATGGCCACTTACAACCACAGAAAAGTAAGTGCAAAGGTGCATTTATTGGTGCAAGTTGCTCCCCCTGTGCCACCCTATTCCCCCATTCTCTGAGCTCCCAGCTACCCTGTATCTCTGGAGGTGCCTCTTGCTCTGTGTTTCTGTAAAAAAAAAAAAAAGGTGCCTAGTAGAGTTTGGGCAAAACTTGCTATGGAGACAGAAAAAACGTAACTTGAGTGAGGCTTGAGATGATCCATTGTGTATATAGTTGTAAAAATGTGTAATTGGTTTAAAATAGGTTATATACTTAAATTTTGAATGTTTATAAAGTGTTAGGAAAGTCCTCTGACGTCCAAAGTTTTCACTTATAAACGATGTCTTGTTGGTTGACAAATTAACAGTTTCATTATCAGCAGCCTTGGGTACCCAGCTACAGGAAAAACTGATAAGCTCCCCCAAAATTTAAGGCCTGCTTATCAAATAAAATTTCTTAAAACAATGTAGGTAGCTTCACAACACTGAATCCCTCTGGCATAAAAGAAAAACTACTGTGTTTTGCAAACTAAATATCAGTATGTTCCTGATAGAAAAACCGTAACTCCCACAAAATTTGGCCATTTGTATATAGTAAAAGAGGCCACACTACATGGAACTTTGGCCTTACCTGTTCCTGACAAATTGACTCCTTTCCAATTTTTAGCCCCCTCTTTCTAGAAGCCTATAAAGTCACAATGCCTTTTTGGAGAAAAGACAGCTGTGACCCCACAAGCTGTGTAGCCAGGTATAGAACATTGGTGAGCAGTAGCAGACCTGGTTACTGAAGCGTTTGGCAATAAAAGGGGACAAGTGGTTCTTGACCATCATCCCTGAGACCCCTGATGAACTGCATTGGTAGAGATAAGAGAGGGACTCCATGAAGCTAAAAAGAAGTATTCCATGGTTATTATCCATTCTTCTGTGCCATTGGGAAAGCAGAACTGTTTTCCTCTAATCCGTGGCTATAACTGCAGAGAAAATGTTCCCTGATAATCAAGGGCAGTCAGTTACTCATACATGTGCCGAGATCCGCTCTTATAATAAGCTAGAAATTAGGTAAATTGGAGAAAGCTTTGAACGAATACCAATAACACTACAGGGGCTTGGCTTCTCTGACTAGCAGATGAGGTAGTCATGCCAGTTTTTATAAATGAGAAGGAATGGAAATCACTCAGTCATCTAAAGACTGGCTCCCTGCTCCAAGCCAGCCTGACCACATACACATTGGCTGGTAACATTGACATAGAAGAGTACGGCCAGCCCAGTGAAGAATTGTTGCAGTAGGTCTTTACATTCATAATGAAACAGTGACCAACCTGAGATGAGTTTCTGTCATTTGATAAACACCTACGGGTGAGAGCAGGGGCAGCTATAACTTCCCTTAGAGCTAAAGTAACCTGAGCCTGGATTTATAATGGAGAACAAGAGTTCTTAGGGGATGAGATAGTCATACAGGATCAGATTCACTGGTTTGTTCAATTGGCACCACTAGGCTATCAGTGGCAATAAAAATCTTCTCTTGTGCCCCAGACATAGCCTCCAGAAAACTCGTAAGCTCCTGGGAAACAATATGCTACACAACACAGGACTAAGAAAATGTCCTTCAGGAAACCAACTGACGATCCAGACAATAGTACCTTGTAGACCTGGCTATTATGCCAGGGTCCCCCAGGAGATTGATAATATTCCCATGAGGGAAATTCTCTCTCATTATCAGGCCACAGGAGGACCACAGAATTCAAAGGTCCTGGCTGTAGGAGGGAAGAATCCTTAGCTAGCTTTGGCATTTACTGTGGACAAACAGGAGGACCTAGAGGACCTAGAATCCTTGATGAAATTTGTGCTGTTCAAGCTAGTGTTGATCCAGCACCTTCAACACTACCTCTTAACCCAGATCCTGCCCCACTTGAAGAAAAAAAAAATCAGAACTAGGGCAGAGGCCAAGGTCCCTACTTCTCTAAGTAGGACTGGAGGCCTTATATACTGGTCAAGGTGTACTGCTGACTTGACAGCAACCAAGGTTGCCAAACCTGTTTAGCTCTTTTGAACACTGGGATACAAGCCACGGTGATGCTGGGTAGCATCCATGGACATGCCTAGTGTGGCAAATGGAATGATGCTGTCCCCCAAAATGTTCACATCCTAATCCCCAGGAACTATGAATATGTTACATGGCAAAAGGAACTTAGTAGATGTGATTATGTTACAAATTTTGAGATGGGAAAATAATGCTGGATTATCCATGCAGGCCCAATATAATCACAAGAGGCATTATAATTCTTATAAGAGGGAGTCAGGAAGTCAGAGAAGAGAGAAAAGGTTATGCTGCCGGCTTTGAAGATAGAGTTAGGGGCCAGAAGCCAAGGAATGCAGGTGGCCTCTAGAAGATTGAAAAAGCAAGGAAATAGATTATCCCCAGAAGCCTCCAGAAAAAAATGCAACCCTACAAACACCTTAATTTTAGGCTTCTGATCTCCAGAATTGTAATAGAACAAATGTATGTATTTTTTGAGCCACTGGGTTTGTACTAATTTGTTGTAGCAGCAATAGGAAATTAATATAGCCTGAAAATTAACTAGATTTGGAAATAAATCTCAGTTTGGACAACGGACTTATAAAATCTTATATATGGGTCCTTTGAGACCAATATACACTCAAGTGGTTGTAACATTTCATGGTTGCAAGAGATATTTCCTCTGGGGAAATGACACAATTGGAACAGTGCTAGTAGTGTGAGTTTACAACTGGAAGCCTGTCAGACTTCCAGACTTTCCCAGTCTAGTCATGTAGTAACTGCAAAGCAATAAAGATATTGGGATGGGAAATGGATGTCACTATACTAATCAAGGACTAATGGAGGCAGAGATGATTAAAGAAACTACATAATCTTGTATCTGTCCTGTGAATCTGTATAGATTTACCACTCAGGCCAGTCAGTTCTAAAAAGCTCTTTGAGCCACAAGCATCAGTAATTGACAGTTAAACAGACTGGTGCTTATGCCAAAACAATTTGGTCACTGGTGATATGATTTGGCTGTGTCCCCGCCGAAATCTCATCTTGAATTCTTGCATGTTGTATGAGGGACTTGGTGGGAAGTAACTGAATTATGGGGGCAAGTCTCTCCCATGCTGTTCTATGATAGTGAATAAGTCTCATGAGATATGACAGTTTTATAAAGAGGAGTTCCCCTGCACACCTTCTCTTTTTGCCTGCTGCCATCCATGCAAGATGTGACTTGCTTCTCCTTGACTTCTGCCTTGATTGTGGCCTCTCCATTTATGTGGAACTGTGAGTGCATTAAAACCTCTTTCTTTCCAAAATTGCCCAATCTTGGGTATGTCTTTATCAGCAGCATGAAAACAGACTAATACACTAGGCAATGGCGCATTCTGGGGTTTGGGACATAGCACTTGGCTGGCACGATCACCTGGTATAGTCCATTTGACAGCCTCTTATTGGTTGTTATTGGTTGCTGGTAGACTCTGAGAGACTAACAAAGCAGCAGCTGTTGTGACACCCTGACATTTCTATTGTGAGGTGGGTCAGAAAGGAGAACATCAACAAAGTAGATGTGCCCAATGTCTTCCTTTGTGCTGTTATAACGAAATACCATAGACTGGGCGATTTACAAATAGATATTTATTCTCTCACAGTTCTGGAGGCAGAAAAGTCCAACATCAAGGTGGTGGCAGGTTTGGTTGTCTGGTAATTGCTGCATCCTCTGAAGGGGAGGAACACTGTGTCTTCACATGGCAAAAAGTGGAAGTGCGAAAAAGGGATGAGCTCCCTCCATCTAGCCCTTTTATAATGGCACCTAATCCCATAACAGCTCTACCCTCAGGGCTCAATCACCCACCAAAGGCCACATCTCCCAATACTGTTGCATTGCAGAATTAAGTGTTAATATGAAATTTGAAGGAGACAAAAAACATTCAGACTATAGCACAAACAAGCATCCATCATTAAGTGGAAGTTTTATATCCAGGAAAAAGTAAGCTGGGCATTACAGAGTCTCACAGTTACATGAAATGTTGGCTGGTCATGTTCTAGATGTGGCCGTCTTAGATGTAGGATCTGTGCCAGCACCTTAGGCTTCTTGAGGGCTGCAGTACACTGGGGTTCCTGAAGACACCTAGGCCTGGTTTACAGATGGATTAGCTAAGTTCAAAACCAGTGAGATGTGCTGGGTCACTGCTGTATTGCATCTCCAAAGAAAACTATGTACTGTAACTGCTCATGAAGAAGGGATGTCTATTTAGTGACATATTTTCATGTTGTTTTCCTTGGAAAACATCCCCCAAAATGCACTCTGTTATATTTTTCATTGACTTATGAACAGGAGTCAAGAGCCTGGCAGTGTAGTAACTGGCAGTAGGATGATTGGATGATCAAGTCTCAGTCCCAGCAGAGACAACATAGCAGCAAACTGCACAGGATCAAAACCTCTGTTAATGACTCACATGGATACCCATGACAAAGGATGCTTTGAGGATGAACATCAGTGACAACAGCAAGATGATCAAATCTGTACTACCTGTAAAAGGACACCTGTGTAGGGCATCCACCTGAATATAGCATTACATACGGTACAATAATCTATTTACAATTCAGGACTGGACCAAAAACACAAGACCTAGTGATTACAGAACATGAGACTTAGAAGCCTGGCAGATGTGTTCGGATGGAAAGCTTTTATAACCAAATGGCAAAGGAAGCTTTGGGGCACATAGGCAGAGGTACCAAACCTGGTCAATCCTAGAAAATATGCACATCCTACCCTCCTCTTGAGGCTACTACTAGCCATTCACTTCCATAGACAACTTTTCAGGTATGGCATTGCCATTCTTATCAACCTAGAAAATGAGGGCCATATTATTCAATGACTCTAAGATGCACTATGTTACATATTTGGATTCTCTGAACACATCTGGTCAGACACTGGTACAGCCTTTATAGTAAAAAGTAACAAATGGTGGGCAGCCATATAGATATTCTCTGGATATTTTATGCGCCATATAATTTCCAGGCAGCAGGTGCCACTGAAAGATAAAGTGGACTCTTTAAGGAGAAAATGAAAAAGACAACTGGTTAACCAAGGCTCAGATCCCAGTGGAGCACACACTTAAGACAGGCACTTTGGGCTCTAAACGTGGTAATTCCTCAGAAGGGTAACTCCTGTTTAAATAAAATGTTTAATTATGAGGCCGAAGAGTGAGAAAGGAAGTCCAGGTTGGCTGTAAGAAAATACCATAATTTTCTTCTCTCACTCTACCTGTTTCACTCTTACACCTACTCCTGGGAAATCAAGCTACTAGAACTTGTCAGCTGTGGGGGTGGGAGACTAACCTAATGCTTCTTTTGCTATCTGGCTGTATTTGGGCAATTATGGACATTGATGATACTGATCATAAATATGAAATGACCATTCCTAAGTTGATCTCGGCATGACCCACATGTCAGGGACTGTGAAATAATCTAGATGGTACAAGAAATATGAAGAAGAAACTTCTGAACCACATAGGGATGAGGTCAGAGATATGGAGTGGGCAAGACATTGGGAGGACTGGAAAAACAGTGAAGTGATTGCTGCAGAAACAAGTCACATCAGTCTTGTGGCTGTGGAAAGAGCACAACCATGAATGGTGGGGAGAAAACACCATTGACCCCGGGTGGTCAAGAGTTGGAAGGGAGACCATTAATCTCTCTGTCAGCTCTTGTTTACAGGGCATCTGGCCAATTTCATGTCACCACCATTCACAACTTCTGGCCAAGAAAAAATCCTAAGAATTCTCACAAACCTCATAATGTCTACTGACTCCAGAAA